AGACACAAATGTCAAACATTTATACTTCCAGAAAATGAACAACATATGTGCAAACAACTCAGCACTTATAATCAGTGATACTACAAAATCAAACAATTACCTTAAAAGGTATGCAGCTAGAGGCTTGTAAGACCCAAGTTTAACAGATCTTAAGAACCATCAATGAGGTTACAATTTGGTTCAGCTCAATTTTAACTTGGAGAAATGCTAGAAGAATATGCACGCTGACCCTAAATATAGGTTTAAATAAAACTGACAGACTTACAGCTTCAAGCATTTTGATCTCTTACAGTTACATCGCTTGCATGTAACACTCTCCTCGACAAGTTTGAACTTTTGCCTGCACCAGAATTAAACTCAAATCAATTTGCATATCAAGGTAATTTTCATGCAAATATAGAAAGTAGTAATCTTATACAGCCTCTTTTTTTGGGACTGTTGTGATCAGACTCATTGCCACCAAGGGTACCAGGTGTCTCAGAAGAATTCTCTGTGTCATCGGGAACCTCACCCTGCCCATAGAACTTAGAGTTGATTTACTACGAGGACTCTGACCTGCAGTAAGATAAGTAAAAAAAATGTCAAGGACCCCAAAATGCATTTCAGTTGCTTTTAAGAAGCTAGAGTCTCCCACTAAAGAGATCCAACCTTTTGTGATGTTGGGAAGAGAATTCAAGTGCAAACCAAAACCGGGTGACTTCTCAAACACCAGACAGCGCCGTCGAATATTAACCTGCTGGTAAAATAATATAAAGTACAATTATAGAAAAGTGTCAATGCGCTGAGAAGGATAAATAGAGTAAATATTTCAGATGATACATTCTAATAGAAAACATCCGTAAGAAACATACAATAATTAGGAACTTGCATGAGAAAAATTACAGGTTTTTTTAGTTAACCTGATTGCCAGACTGGTTGCAGTTCTCATCCTTACCATCCTTTTTCAAACCTGACTCACTGGCTACTAGTTTGTCAAGTAGACAAGTAGAAAGGATGCTTTGTGCCGGGTCTGTTACTGGCTTTCCTGATTCATTTTGCTCGCAAGAACCGCTAGGATCACCAGATTCTGCATTTCCTAAATTATTGGCATTATCTAGTGGGAACTGCATGATAGTTGATATAAAAGAGGTTGTCCCTGAGTCTGCTGTTCTCTGATCCTGCCCGTCAGTATTTCCATGAATGACAGATGAATTAATTGTCAACATATCAGCAACATTAGAAAGAGCTTCTACCCAGTTGCATCCTGCTGATTCTTCAATCTGCTTAACTCTGCATATTTTATGCAAATCTCTTTCGTGAAGCTGCCTGTTTTCCCATCCATCTCTATTGGGTTGGAAAGGAGATTTCTCTTCTCCCACCACTCCCCACTTGGGTTTCTCAGTATCTGACCACGAGGCTCAAAGTTACCATCAGGACTCCTGCAATCGTATTTCAAGGTTCTTGGAAACTCTGTTTCTAAATCTGATTGGTCAGTAAGTAGATTACAGCTAGTTCCTTTGGATGAACAATCATTCTTGAGAGATCCCAGATGTTCATCATACAAGTCAGATTGTTCACCAGCTTTTGAAGCTCCCTCACTATCATTAGATTCATGACCACTCTGTGGGGCTTTAGAGGTTGAAGGCGACAAGAAATGATGCCTGGAACAAACCTCAATTAGAACTCTTGAAATCATGAACTAACCAGAGAAACGACTAGTTTTACCTTTTAACCGAAAACCTGGATTCCCTATGGCAGCTAATCTGTGGGGAAGGAAATAAAGATGAAGGGGACAAAAATGCTAGTGAACTGAAAACATTATCTGTTTGCTTGGACTTGGCAAGTTCAATAGGTGAAAGACTGTCAATGTATTTAAAGACAGGTGAATCCTGCAAAGAGAAATAAAAGTTTAAAAACTTAGCCCACAAATCCTTAGTAACCTAATTAGCAAATGATCAAGTAGCATTAGAAAACTATGTTACTTGAACATGAGTCTGAGGCTGAATGTCAAGATACAGGCATGTGTCCATCACGTGTTATAAATATTTTTAAGTTCCCTCACATACTGCAGGATCATGCCCTTGTATCTATGTCTAAATATGCATCATACATGGGAATTTCAAGAAAAATGAAGAGTCAAAATAACAAACTAGAAAACAAGCTATCAAAACCAAACTAGAAAGAATACATCCTTTCCATATCATTCCATGCAACTAAATACCAACATCCCCAACCTTTTAAAAGGAAAGGCACTTGCAATTCCTTCGTATAAAATTAGTCAATTTTAAAAATCTCAATCATCCATGAGTATTGACTATTGAGATACTATGGCTCTGAATAAGTTCCAGGTTGACGCCAAAACGATAAATGGTTGAGACTGAGTAATTTCCCTAACATTTTACAGAAGACGTTTGGTTAAAATCGTAGAAATTCCACCTTCCTTCATGGATTTTGTGGTCCACCCCCCATCCCGGTCACCAGAGTTATAACAGTAATCTATCCTAAACTCAAAGTAAAGGGCAAAAACAAGAATGGAAGCAAAGCCCCAACCTAAATTCAAACTAAATATCCGAAATTAACACAGAACATGAAAACAGCATACTAAGTTAACTTGTAATAGAAAACCAAAAATAAGCCTTGAAAGAAGAACTCTGGTTAACATATAATTATTAAACCTTACACATAAAACAAAGAGTACTAACTTCATTTCTAGGCTTAAAAAGTAACCAAGAAAAAATACCCATTTGTTTACAAAAATTACGAGAAAAAATAGTACCTCAAATTTGGAAAGATTAGAAGTTGGGGTGATATGAGTTTTATCTGGTGTATCCATTTTTTTCATCGAAGCCTCCACATCTCCTTCTTCAGCTCTCTTTGAAAGTTGACTGAAAGCTCAAGAGCTCAGAGCCTGGGGAGAGTGGGAGACAGCCGAACCATTCTTTATTTCTTCGTATTTGGTGGAAACCGACCATTCATATTGAACGAACAAAATAATCGATTGAGAAAGCGGGAAATGAAAGCAAATTCATTTTGTAGTTTTCTAAAACATAAAACTTAAAAACCTAATCAAAATTGGGTCAGTCCATCACATATTTCCAGCCCTAAATGAGATGGAGCTTCTCCGATTGGGAAGAGATTCTTATTAGATTTGGGCTTTTATCCATTTGTTAAATCTGGTTATCAAACGAATAATTAGGTATAAGCCTTAAGGAATTGAAAAAGCCTTAAGGAATTGAAAAGGCCTTACATTCTTGAGAAAAAAAATGTTATCAAAATTTTTTAATAAGGTGCTTAATTAACTAAATGTATCAATTTAATCTTTTCAAAACTACATTGTAGTGTCGCTTTTTCAATCATAGTCTATAATCACATTTTCAAAAATCGCATCCCATAGGCACCATTAAATTTGACATCAGATTTTGAAGAATAAAAAAAGTACATTTTTAAGAAAACGATTTAAACGATCTCAATGATTAAGCGATGTGTTGTTATTTTTTAAGGTTTCGAATTTGAGTATTGTATATGAAGGGATATGAACATTCACTATCGAATAGTTGAGTCTTTGAACATATATTATCTTATATTCATCTCAAATTATCAAATAAATAAATAATAAATTTTATTATTTAATCTTTTTCCACTCTTATTTCAATTACTTAAGTTTTAAAATATCATTAAACTTTTTAAAATTTTATTTTAATTAATTTTTATTGAATAGTTAATGACATTATGAAACAGTGAAATAATTTAAATTTAAAATATTTAAATATTAGAATGAAATAATTTTGAAATTAAAAATTAAAAATTTAATTTTAAAAAAATCAAGTCATAAGTACTTATTAACCTAGATATTACGGCCTATAACCCGTATATAAACCCGTAAAAATTAACATTTTGGATGTCCCCTCCAAAAAAAATAAAGAAAAATTATTGAATTATTTTTAGGATAACAAACAAATAATCTCGGATTATATGGTATTATTTTATTGAGTCTTAAGTTAATAGAAGTTATAAAATAATCTTCTAACCATAAAACATTATTTTATTAAGCCTTTCGATTATTAAAAGTTATAAAATGGTCATTCAACTATTTATATTTTTTAAACTCATTATTTTTCATTAAAGAATATATGATCATCTCAGTTGTACGTTAATATGCTAATTGAAACATAATAACATTTGATCCCGATCAAATTTGAGATTCTGATATCATATTTTATCATATCTCAATCAGCATGTTAACGTTTAGCTTAGATTGCCGTCAATTTTTTAACGAAAAAGACGAGTTTGTGTCATATCAATAGTCGAATGATCTTTTTTGTAACTTTTAATAGTCAGAATACTTAATAAAAATACTATATAATCGGGAATCATTTGTGTATTTTACCCTTACTTTTATATCCTAGTCAAATAACTTTCAATAGAAATGGTCACGGGACTCGAACTCAATAAGTTCCTACCTGACCTTATCGAATTATATTTTTTTTTAAAAATTGAAAACGGGTTGGATAGGGTCGAGTTTACGTTTTAAGAGACTATGTTTCAATCGGGTTAGATGTGGGTTTAAGATGAAAATATTCGACCTGAATCGATTCAAACAAAATTATAATTTTATCCTATATATTTAGATATTGCAATAAGACCCCTATATATTTATTTTTTTCAATTAAATCACTATTTTTATTAAATAAAAAAATATTTATATTAATATATTATTGTGAATCAAACTGAATTTAGATTTTATTTCAAAAAGACAAATCGAGTGAAAAATATATAATTTTTGAAACGAATCAAGTTGACTATAGACCCGACCCGACCAATGTCAATCCCCTATAAACATCACTACTACCGAGTGTGAAAGTTGCAATTGAACAGATCCTCGCCGCTAATCTCGAACAACAAAAGTTTCACGTTACTTTCTCTCTCTCTCTCTCTCTATCTCTCTCTCTCTCTTTCTCTCGTTTTCTTTTTATTCATTTATTTTGATGTTTATAGTCCAAGCAAACTGAACAACCTTAAGTTGAAGACGACGACGACGAGGATGATGAAAAAGATGAAGATGATGCCGATAGTGAATATTCTTATCAGACATTTCTTGTTCGTTTGTTTTAAAAAATTAATTTAGAGTGGAATATATGGTTTATTATTTGGTTAAATTATGTTTGCATGATTGTTATTTTAATATACTTCAGTTAGATATATGTATATGATGATATGTAAAAAATAAATAATAATAAGATGCTTGATCTATAGTGACTAGCTACTGGAGCTTGATTTTGGGATTGTGCACCAACTTCACTTCCTAGTCTAGTTGATCCCCGACCCTGAGTATTTCAATTAGTGAATTTAGCTCAATTATGGTATTTTATTATTTGGTTTCAGTTTATCAAATCTTGAATTTTGCTCGGGTTTCAGATCAAGCTTGTCCTCTTTTAACTTGGATCTAATCGCTTACTGTAATCACCATTTTTACCTTAGCCTCCAGCAGCTACCAGCACTTCAATAACAGGTGGCTCCCAGCTCCAATTAGCACTCGCCATCATCTTTACATTTCAGTAGCTTCGGGCAGCTCCACCTGTGGCCTCCAGAGCACAGTCCACGTCCAGCATACTCATCAGCAAATAAGAAAACAACAACAAATATCAGATTTTTATTTTTTACACATGTAATATGGGTTATAAAAACCCAACAAAACAGGAGAATGAGTCATCCTCCTTCCTCTCGCTCCCCATTCAAAATAGAACGAAAAAATTTGTAACAGAGGATTTTTTTCTCTATTTCTTCGAAGAGCAATTCAACAGCAGAGAGTACATTTTTAAGGTTTACTTTCCCTTTGAATATGTTATAGTTTTTTTCGATTGTTTTGTTATTTTCGAACTAAAGCATGAGATTAATAAAAAAAGAGAGCAGCAAGTTAATATAAAAAAGCAATAAATAGGATTGATTTTACCTCGTTGTTGGTCCTTGGTCGGATCTCTCTTCCTTCATCGGTCGGAACGCGAGGGGGGCCACCATAGCGGTGGCCGGCGTTGGAGCCTTGGGTTTTTTATATGACCGGCCAAATAACTTGGTTGAAAGCTTTGGTATGGTCTGCTGCGTGAAAAAAAAAAGAAAGGAAGAAGATGAGTTTTAAGTCTATAAAATATTTGGGTTATTCACGCAGAGGCTCCCTCATTTTAATACCCCTTTGTATTCTGGCATCTGTTTTTAGGGGAAAACTACACTTCAGTCCTCCAATCTTTGTTGCATTTTCGCATATTGATCACTGAAGACTTTAATTCAATTTTAGAGGTAAATCACAATAAGGTCCCTGGACATTTAATGTGTTGTTATATTTTAGTCATTTAAAATAAGGAAAATCATGAAATAATCTCTCTAATTTATGTGCATATTTACACTTTAGTTCCTAATTTCTTTTTTTATTATTTCGAAATTAGCTGATATATTTTTATTTTCTTTTATTTTGATCTCTTTGCTTTACTTTATTATATTTTAGTTATATTAATTCTCTATTTTAATCTTTTGAACTCTTTTATTTTGGGCATTATATTCTGATATCTTTTATTTTAGTTTCTTACTTTATATTTTAATCTTTTATTTTAGTCATTTACTTTATATTTTAATTTATGTCATTTATTCTTTTATTTATTTTTTTTATATTAAGAAAATGATTGTCTTAAAGCAACTAGAGATCCTATTCTGATATTTTAAAAAATAAATAAATATCCTGCTTATAAATATATATATTTACTTAGTTTTTATTATTTTTTAAGGAAAAATATTATATTCTTATTAATATTTATTTATTTATTAATATTAAAGAATAGGCGGTCTTAAAGCAACTAGATATCATTTTCTGATATTTTAAAATAAATAAATGTCATATTTACAAAACCCTATATATATATATATTTTTTCCCTTAAGAAATGTATGATTAAATTTGAAATAACCTGATCATAAATTAAATTTATATTTGAATTCTTAAATTCTACTATTAGAGACAATTTATAATCGACAGGGACCAATTTTGGGCATTGTGGGGGTACTAATCCTTCCCCAAACGTAATCGACCACGAATCCCTTTTTATTATTAAAAAAAGAATGAATTTTTGGTTAAACGCATATCAGTTTATCTTTTAACTGATGTTTTCTTAAAAACTCTTTTAAAAGAAAAATTTTAGGTATTCGACCTACCTTACTCAAAAAGGTCGATGGTGACTCCCAAAACATTTCATAAAAACCATTTATTTATCCACATTATTTTTCCCGCCAAGTAAAATTTCGTGCCTGGGCGAAAGCCGGTTACGACATCTTGGCGACTCCGCTGGGGATCCTGGTCAACCTAATTCAATTATATATTGTCCCTATAATTAGAAATTGAGAATTCAATTTTATTTAATTTATGATTCATTTCTTTTAATTTATTTTATACCCTTGTATATTTATTTGTATTTAATTGATTTTTAGATATTAATTTTTGTGTAAAAATTTCTCCTCATACACAACACTTGCATTGCATAACATAAGCTTTATAATCAAGCTTTTCCCTTTTAAGTGGGAGTGAAAGCGACGTCTTCGTGAGAATTTATTCTCCGTGTCAGACCTAGCAAGTAACTTTTAGGGTTCATATGCTATATGTCTTCGTGAGAATTTATTCTCCGTGTCAGGCATAGAGAAATGTGTCTCCTCGAATTGAACTCGATCCGCTTAAGTCTGTAATGGACAAGGATTGAGGGTTTGGCAGCCTAAGGGGGAACCAACAAGGATAATTCGAGTACCTTTACTCTTAGAACTGAAACCCTACATGTAATAAACCTTATAACTTCTCCCGATCTGAAACCATGCCGAAATTTTGTTCGTAGGTGTACACAAAGGAGAAATAAGCTCTAACTTTTAATTTATTTGATTTCAATTTTTCTAAACAAAGCATGGAACTAGAAATCATGCGGTTAGGTTAATTTTTCCAAACAAAGCATGAAACTAGAAAGCATGAGGTTAGGATTTTTATATCATGATAGATAGGATATTCTCTTTCCATTAATTGGTACTAACCAATTTATTTTTCCTTTCTCATTTTTATTTTTCATACATTTTGTTTTGCTCTAACTTGTTTATATTGATTTCTTTTGTTTGCATTGCATGATTATATCATAATCCAAAAGGTGTTTATTTGAAAGACTATTCATCAAATTGGAAAGAATTCATAAATGGACAAAAAGTTTTTTGATCAAGCAAACTATGACGCAGCTAAGGAAAGACATCCTGAGGGAACTCTGAAGATAGAGAAAAGCTATACACCCAAAGATCGTATACCCATTGAAGAGCAAAAGGAGATACGAGAAATAAGAGAGCATATGTCCAAGATGATGGGTAGAATATCTGTTTTGGCCAAAGGAAAATAGATTTCTGCACAAAAAGAGAGAGAGCTCAATGAAGATAAATCTGCAATCTCATATATACAAGGGACTTCAGATCCTAACCAATTTGAAAAATTACAGACAATCATCATTCGTATTCACAAGTTATTTGGAGATACCAAGGAAATGGTGACAACTGTAAAAGCTCCTAAAGATAAGATGAAATTATGCAATCTAAAATCATCGAAGTTTAATTTGCTCCCGACGTCTAAAACTCAGGTTCAATCCAAGACAAAAGGCGGTTCTCATTTTGATGTTATCCCTATATCATATGAGGAGTTGTACGAGAAGATACTTGAAGCATGAGAAGCAGCTCCGTATTATATGAAGCCGTTTCAACCTCCGTATCCGAATTGGTATGACATCAATACTTATTGTGAATATCATGTCAGAGCTCAAGGACATACCATTGAGAATTGCCTTGCCTTCAAACATCGAGTCCAATGTCTTTTGGATCATGGAATCTTAGAGCTTAGGATAAATGATCAACCTAGTTTATTAACTGAAGGTCCTACTAGATTAATACCAAAAGTGGTCAAATGAAAGAACATCAGTAAGGGCACCCAGAAGGAAGAAGATTTGTTGAGATCTGAGGCTCAAATACGTCATTTAAAGAATGAAAACAAGAAATTGAGCACATAACTGGAAACAATACAAGAAGATTTCAAAAAGGTCAGTCAAGCCTTTCAAAATGCTGGCATAGGAAACACCCCAGAAGAGTGGATAACAGGGGTCACCAAACTGTAAAAGAACTGTAACATACATGAAGGTCGAGCGAAGAAGTTTTATCATGATTCACGAGTTGCAGAAGAAAGACTCAATACGTCTGTCTTTGAATTGGACAAATATCAAGCAAAAAATCAAATGTTGAATAGTGATATGAGCAACATGGAAACATCATATCAGATCCATTAGCTTGAGATCGATGTTGAATTAGAAATCACTAAGACCAAGAACAAAACATTGAAGAAATGTTTAGATGATTCTGGAGATCTTGTACGAGAACTTCTTGAACATAAAGATTCTCTCACAAGAAAAAATGAACAACATTGTCTACAATTTCGAGAATTGACACAGAAGATGAAGGAAAAAGACAATATCATGAAAGAAGCTGCTGCTCAAGTAAACAATGTGGCTCATAAGTTGGTAGACTTAGCTGGCTTCACAAGAGAATTAAGGTAGATTGATAACTCCACACCTGAGCATGAGTGGAAGTTAATTTGGCTTTTAAGGTAAATAGAGAAATTATGAGTGAAAGTTATCCCCTACATGTAAAAGTTTTGTTTGATGCACCGAAACTTTTGTGTTCAATGAAATATTTTTTAAGATGATCACTCTTGAGTAACACCTTTTCATACATGTGTTTGCAGTTCACATCTTTGCATTTTCATTTTGTATTCATACTTTTATGTTTGCTTTTGCATTGCACAGTTTGCATTCTTATTTTTGCATTTATGCATTCTCGCATTTACATTACATTTTTTATTTAAGTATTGTTATATACATTAATATAAAAATTCATAGATTTTGTACATCATTCATTCATATATACCATTCATAAAAAATGGTTTTGCAATAACATACAGTCATTCATTCATTTATGCATCTCATGAAAAAAAGTATTTATAAAAGATAAAGATATAAACAATTGAA